ATACATGTGTACATCTATACACATAACAAGAAGTTACAGGTATATATCTATAGAGGTGTATAGAAAACATCTGAAAAAGGATCCATTATGTTGATAGAAGCTGTTTCATGGAACTGAGATCATAGTCTTTATTTCTTTTTTTTTTTTTTCTCTTTTTGGTACTGGAGATCAAACTCACAATTTTGTGCTTGCCAGGCAGGCACTTACATCACTGAGCTAAATACCCAGCCTATGTTTCCTTTTTTAAAATCTTATTTCTCATAATTATCTGAAGTAAATATGACGTATCTTTAAGTACTATGCAAACACAGAAAGTAGCAATTACTTTTAAAGTAAAGTCATGTGGTAGTTATAATCTGGAAGTCTGAAAAGCTAGCTTGAAATTGTTAAATTTAACCTCATATTCTTAATATCTACCCTATGTGTCTCTGAGATTAATAGTCTATGTAACCTAACCAATACGCTGTGATTTAAATAAGAGTGGACTATCAGTTCAAATCAAGCACATGTAGGGACCCATGGTCAGTAGTCATTGTGATTACTATCCAATATCCATTCTACTGTCCTTCCCCCATTGTCCAGGGTAGAGTCTAATTGGCCTGAGTTTTTCCAGGCAATCTCATCTATATCATCTTATATTTTCCTGTCTCCAACCAGAGTAAAATCCTGTAACTTTCCCTTTATGAATTATGTCAAGTATATCAAGTTCTCTACTGGGCAAATGTAATTATGCATAATTCTAATGTTTCTTTTTGAAGTTCGGAGGCTATCTTTCAACAGTCTGATATTTTCTGCCACTTTTCCTGCTCATAAGGGGAAAAACAAATAATCTGTGGCACAGTATCTGTCCCTTTATATAACTATAACCAATAGTTAACAACTGGCCCTTGAGAAACTGTAGGGCACAACTTTCTAAACATAATTTAGAAACAAATTAATTACAATAAAAAAAACTTCTTTGTCAAAAAACATGTCCAAAGGTTCCTTTTAAAAAACAAATCTTACTGTTCAAAAATATAAAAGCATGCTTTGTGGATGTTTCTCTTGTGATTACTTTTGCAAGTGAAGAAACTGAAACTTTCTACTTATTTATTTTTAAATTAAATTAAATAATTTTTTTTGAGACAGAGTCTTGCTATGCAGTTTGGGCTGGCTTTGAACTCACTTTGTAGCCCAGGCTGATCTCAAACTCACAATAATCTTCCTGTTTCAGCCTCCTGAGTACTGGGCTTACAGGCATGTTTCACCACGCCCAGCTAGAGACTTTTTATTTGAAAAGGAAAGACGAATGTTTTTTATTTTTCCTCAATATTTTCATTTAATGAATATATCTAGCTGTAATAAAGAATGAAGACATGTTATAGAAGTTGAAATTGAAAGATTATCAGACTATAATGTTAAAAAAGAAGGAAGCTAACCAATTTGGTATCTAAATGTCGGGCCATCTAGACTGTGATGATCATGAAGTGCAGAGCACTAACTGTGAAGGATTTTGGCTAAAAATGTCAACCTTGAATCTGAACAAACCTCTAGAGCTAAATTTTGTTGGCAGGAAATATAAAGAAATGGAGGAAAATATTAGTGACTTTACAGGGAAACAGACAAACCCTAGAATGTGAGTCATTTCACAAGGAAATTGGTTTGTATAACCAATCAATAACAGGAGGTTTGAAGAGAAGACTGACTTAGGTTACACAGTACTTTACAGACCCAACCACTAACTGCAGCACAGGGACTGTTTGGGGGACGATATTTGTGTCTGAGTTTAAATAACCTTAAATGAACAAGGATATATTTGAGGTAATTATGGAAACTTGATTTTGGACCAAAATATGAGGTATAAAAAGTCATGATTCAGCTGGGTGTGGTGGTGCAAGTCCATAATCCCTGCATGAGGGAGGCTGAGGTAGGAAGACCACTATAAACTTGAGGCCTGCATGGGATACAGAGAGAGTTCATTGAACTTCATAGCAAAGCCCTGTCTCGAAGAGACAAAAAAAAAAAGTCATCAGTATTAATTTTATTTCTTGTTTCTTTTGTGAGACAGTGGTGTTAGTATTATGCAGCAATATTTCCATATTTTAAAGAAGATGAATAGTTAAGCCTATACATGGAATAACATGCCTATGATTTATTTCATGTCTATGATTTGTTTTTATTTATTTTAATTTTTTTATAGGAGGCAACAATGGTACATACGTTGCACACTGATTTGTTTTTAAAATACTTTAACAACCAAAATAGCAAAAAGAAAGTAAGTGTACGTGATGGACTATTTTGTCTAAGTAAAGAGATAAAGACATATTTCATTTCCCTGTGTTTCTAATGGGTAAACACAGAGACTGATGAAAGTATAAAGTGTAGGGCTGGGGATTTAACCCAGTGGCATAAGCACCTGCCTTGCAAGCAGGCAGTCACGAGTTTGATCCCCGGTACCGATAAAAAAAAAAAAAAAGAAAGTATAAAGTGTGAGTAGGAGAAATGGGGCCCACGTGAACAGGTGGGAATAGACAAGCTTTATTTTGTCCGTACCGGGGATCGAACTCACGACTGCCTGCTTGCAAGGCAGGCACTTATGCCGCTGAGCTAAATCCCCAGCCCCAACAAGCTTTTTATATTGTTTTTTCTTCTTAGCCATCTGAACATTCTACCCACTCTGGCTTAGATGAGATTCGTCCTTCAAAGATTCACATAGTGCAAGCTCATCCGCAATGTGGTAAAGGAAAGATATGGACCTTTAAGAGGCGAGGGCCAGCAGAAGTTGACTAGGTCCCCGGGGGTATCACCCTTGAAAGGGATTAAGACAGCTCTCAGGGAGCCCTGAGTTTGGGGTTGAGTTATTAAAAGAGAACACGCCTGTTCCCTCCCCCAGTTTTGGCTTCCTGTGCCACTGTGATGTCTCTCCTTCACACCTCTCAGCAGGGTGGCCCTGTCCTCTGTGAGGTTTTCCTCAGAGCTGTGCCAGTGCCCTTAGACCTCCAAAAGTATGAAGAGACAAACCTCTTTTTATCCTAAGTTACCCAGGCTCAGGTGTTTCATTATAATAACAAAGAAAACAAAACATTTCTTAGCTTTTAAAAAATAAACAATAGACAATTTAGATAAGTGCAGTGGTAAACAGGGCCTCATTGCTACAAAGAAGATACATTTTAGACTACTGAAGTATATGATTTAAAAAACCTCCAGGATTATGTTTATGATGGGAATAATGTTTACTTTTGTTTCTATTCTATGGAAATTATAAAGCATTCCAACAAAGGTCTTTAATGCATTATTTGCACCTATGATATTGTTTGCTAAATGTAATAGTCTGATCATGATACTGAATAAATGTGTCACAAAACAAAAAGTAAATCCCCCAAAATATGTACTCGGTGGTAGAGCTTGCCTCAAGTGTGCAAGGTCCTGGATTTAATTCTTAGCACTCCAAAAATAAGTAAATCTTAAAAGGTCAATGGGAATTAAAAATTTCACCAAGAGGGACTGACAGGGTAGAAAGGGTTGGAGTAGAACTCTCAGCTTCTACATGTGTAGACTTGAGTAAATTAATTCCTTATTCATGTTTTATAAAGCTTGTCTCAGCAACAATTCTAGAAGTAGGCAGAAACCAGTAGTAAGAGACAAAACAAAACACAAAAACTTCAGACTGATGCTTGTAAGAGCCTTGTCTGAGGTGGTGCGGGGAGTAAATATGGTTCCTAATCCATCTTCCATCCACCCCACCTTACACTTGAACATGAGCATGTGCTAGCTGTTATTAGTTCTGTCCACAGATGTGTGGGTGACAAATATTAGATTCATGCAACTTAGTTACAGTGCCAAAATGTCTGGAGTTTAGGAGACTTGTATTCTTACACTGAATCACCAATCGTGTGTCTTTGGACAAGCCAGTTTTCCTGAGTTTCATTTTCCTTGTCTGTAAAATGAGAAAATTAACTATGATCTCTTGGGTATGAGGCCATGGAAGTACATATGTTGAACAAATTGGATATTTACTTATCTTAAGCATATTTAATGGCATAAATATGACAAGGAAACTAAAGAAGTCAAGACATATAGGGAGTTCCCCCCCCCCTTTTTTTTTCAAAAACCCCTTAGTGAAGTGAGCTTACTTCCCTTTTGCAAAGAAGCTTTGGTTTTTAAAGTATTTAGGTAACAGTTACTTTTCCCAGGACTGATATTATTTGGGTTTGATACGTTACCTCTAATGAATGGTGTGACTAGAACTCAACACTTCATGACAGTTCATGTCTCAAACTCCCTCAGGTAAGGAGAGATGAGACACCTTGTGCATGAGACGAAACAGAACACCGAGGGTGGAGTTTTCAGTTACATCCAATGTAGGAGAAAAGAGGGATTGCAGAAAGGAACACACCTTTCCCAAACAGAAGAGTTTCAAAGTGTGAAGGTCAAAGTCAGACTATTAGAGCATGGAGCAGGGCCTATATTAACACAGTTTCCTCATTTTATAAATTTTGCAAATGAGAAAACTCACATCTGGCAAGATTATAGGTCACAGACTAACCTGAGATAGAGCAAGGATAAAATTTAGGGTTGTGATTTGAGCTCGAGGTAAAGATCACACTATTCATTGTTCTATTCCGAGAGACTAGTCTAGTGCCAGCCACAAAGTAGATGCCTTATGTATACTGGGTAGGAGAGACTTGATTAAATGGATGCATGAATGATATGTTTGAATGTTGTATTCTCTTATAACCAGCTAGACTTCAATGTGGTCCATTTCAGTGCTGTGTTATTTGCAGTTTCAAAGGGTTTGCTCTACTTGCTATGACTAATATAATTTTTTCTACTGCAGTTAGTATTGCTTCCTCTTTGTTGATGTAATAGCATAAACATCAGAAGGTTACCGGATATGTGTTGTGGCATGACAAAGCCTGGGGCTTCCTGGTCAGTGTAGGCTTAGCAGCACTAACAGAGAAATCACTGGTAGTCAGAGTGCTGTGCTGGCTGGTTCCCAGTGGGAGTGGCTACCACTCATATGACTGTGGTTAAGCAGGTGGTTGGAGAAGTACCCAGTTTAGCTGCAGAGCTAAACTGTGCTTATGCAGTCATCCTTTGAGTCTTCCTCTGAAGAACCCATGTTTTCACATCTTTCTCTTGAGTGTGTCCTGCTGCTGCTGCTACCATTGCTTACAAGTAAGTGTGGGTGGGCAGGAACATTTACAGTTGGAGAATGGTGGTGTATGTAGAGAGCAATACAAACATGGTCACATTTGTGCTTGTAATAGCGTAAGTTTAGAAGCAGCCTCAATGTTCATCATCGGGGTGTGGGTAAATGAATGTGGTATATCCGTGATGCAAACAGTGTGCTTGACTGAATGTGCTGACACAGAATGCCTTAAGTTATAATGTTACTGAAAAACATCAAGGAACAGAACAATGCGTACATCAGACTTCCATGTGTGTGTGTACATTGTAAGGGAGAAGGGAATCTCTATTCCAGGAAGGGGAGCTGGGAAATGGAAGGATTTGGAGAGGAAGTTGTACTTTTCATACACCATTTTTACTGTTTGAGTAGTTTACCAGGTAAGTCTGTGTGGACATATAAAAGTCTGTGTGGTATAAAAGAATTAATCTGAAACTTCAAAGCAAACTGTGAGTGGTTTCAGACACAGAAGCTTCTTTTTTTATTTTATTTTTTATTTCTTATTTTTTGGTACTGAGGATTGAACTCAATAGAAACTTCTTATTTGGTCATTTCAGGATTTTACTCACTTTTTCCTAGTGTATTTTTTTCTTTTATCTCTGTCTCTGTCTATGTATATGTGTCTCTTTCTCTCTGTCTCTATATAAATTCTGGGAAGTGAACACAGGGCTTTCTCAGTGAGCTACATCTTGAGCCTTTTTGAAATTTTGCAAGTGGGTCTTCCTAAATCACTAAATTTTTGGGTGTGGTGGTACATGCCTATAATTCCACCACTCAGGAGGCTGACTCAGGAGAATACCATGAGTTCAAGGTCTTCCTGGACCACATGGTGAGTTCGAAGTCACTGAGCTAGCAATGTAACAAGACTTTGTCTCAAAACCAACCAACCAACCAACCAACCAACCAACCACACACAAAACCCCCAAAACACTAAGTTGCTGTTTGCCTAGCCTGGGCTCAAATTTGCAATTCTTTTAGGGTTCTAGGATGCTGGGACTACAGGTATGTGCCACCATGCTCAGCTTCCTGATGCTTCCTAGAGAGAGGGAGATTTATGTGAGGACAGCTGTCCTTTGATAATGGATGTAAAATGGTTCTGGTTGACAATGACCTTTCCTTACTGTTAGTTCTCATCAGCTGTCTCTTCTGATGATTACAGGACTACTCCACAGTTCTCTCCAGGACAGTGGTCTTCAGGGTGAGGGGCTAGAACCCTCAACTCTGAGAACTGCTGCACATACAAGGGTTATGGCTGCACCCAAGTGAGATGAGCCCCAAACTCCAGAGGCTGAACCTTACAACTCATGTGTGAGCAGGGCTTCCTGCTCAATTTGATGCCTTTTATACCTGAGAATCATTGACATAGTCACTCATCCTTCAGACAGGACAACAGCAGTGACTTTGTCCTCATTCTCTAAAATGTTTCTTGCCATCTTCCTAAAATGTGCTCCCTTTGTGGTCCTGTGCTCTTTTCCTCTCCAGGGTCTTTGGAAGAGGAGATTGTAGTGGCATTGGGTCAGAATGCCCAGCTGCCTTGCACATACAGCCTGCCTGCCCCTGGGAGTTTCGTGCCTGTGTGCTGGGGCAGGGGAGCCTGCCCTGCATTCGACTGTTGGAATTTGATACTCAGGACTGATGAAAAGAATGTGACATATATGGCGTCCAGAAGATATACACTAGAGAGAGACTTCCACAAAGGAGATGTGTCCCTGACCATAACAAATGTGACTCTGGATGACAGTGGAACCTACTGCTGCCGGGTCCAATTCCCAGGTCCATTTAATGATGGCAAATTCAACATAAAGTTGGTTATCAGGCCAAGTGAGTACACCTTTAAATCCTTCTTTGTGCATAAGATTCACCAGTAGGTCATAGGAAACACACTGATCTTTTCACCTCTGCCCTACAGTCCTGGGATGGGTCCCGAAGACCTAATCCATGATGCCCAGTGAGGTGTAATACCCTCCATATGTCTTGAAACTTGACAGGACCCACAGAATAGGAAGAAAGGCCTAGACCAGCAGCTTTTTAGAATTATCTGGAGAGGTGTTTTTTTGTTTGTTTTTTTTTTATCTCAACAACTAAGTATGCTCAGTCACTACCTACAAACCAGAGAAATCAGAATTTCTGGAAGCAAAGCTGAGCATTAGCCTTTGAGTAAGTTTAATCCAAGTACAGCCAGGATTGTGAATCGCTGGACTGTGTATGTGTGTTGGAAGAGTGTGTGTCCTTGAATGTTTAAGAGTTACAGAGCACATACTTTGTTGCCAGATGTGGCAGAATTCAAAGCCAACTCTGCCTCATATCAGTTATGTGATCATGAGGAAGTTATTCAAACCTTATGACCTCCACTGTAAAATATAATATCTACCACAGGATGTGAAAGGGTTCATGCGATAATATTTAATGCAAAGCTTTTGATATTGCCACATGAATAGGTGTTAGTTCTGTTTTTATTTTGGCAGTAAAAACAATGATTGACTTTCAGTGTTTAGTAGATCGTCAGGGAAGGTGCCCCGAGGTAGGTTTAGAAACTGAAGATGTATTTCTCCTCATTTATTGTTTCATAATTTTCCGGCTGCCCCTTTGATTCCCTGAAACAAACTCCTTATTCTCAAGGAAGCCTCATGCTTAATGTTGGTTTCTGACATTAGTCGAGGTCACTCCCGCTCCGACTGCACAGAGAGGCTGGATTCCAACCCTTCCAAGGACTCTTACCACCGAAGGACGTGGACCAGGTAACTCAAGGAGCATAGAAGGAATCCATTGGTTAGTGTCTGAATTTAGAAGGTTTGGAGGATGAAAAAAGTTGATAGCATAGTTTAAGGGTAGAGGAAAGAGTTGCCACCGTGTACCTGAAATGATGTTCAAGATGAGGAAGGGGAGAGGCACACATGTGCTGGGGGAAAAACTTAGCGTTAGGAAAACTATGAAATACAATACATTAAGAGAAACACATTCTCAGCTTCTAAGCCTACCTGCAGGGCACCTTCCCTGAAGATCTACTAAACACTACAAATGGAGTCCCTGGGTTAGGATTCTAGATTAGCCACAAACTAGTATGGGACCTGAGCAAGATCTTTCACTTCTCTGGAATGCAGCTTCCTCTTCTGTCTAAACCATGTTTAGAGACTTTGGAATTTCACAACTCAGTGAGAATTTCCATCCTCTTCCACAGAAAAAATTTTGATGAGCCATGCATTTTGCCAAATAACAAAAAAAAAATGTTGAATTTTGCCATCACTATATTAAAAAGACACCATAAGACTTTATTTTACTTAAATTTTTGACCTTTCATAGTTCAATAAGAAATTATTCTTTTACCTTAATAAATATCAAATAAATTTGATCCAGTGGGACAACTCGTCTTACAGTCCTCACTATTCTGATGAACACTTGCATTGTTGAGGCTTCCTCAAGAATGTGCCCAGGTCCATGTTCAGGGACTAATGGGCTGGATTAGACAGCTAGAAGGTTCCTTTTAGGTGAAATACAGCCCATCAGCTTTCTCAGATTCCAGCCTCAGAAGGAATAGCTGGATTCTTCATGGAATTCATGGAGCACCTGCCCAGCATACACCACAGGAGAAGATAGGACGGAAGGAATCACATTAATCCAGGGAGTTAATCATATAGAATTTCTCCTCAAAATCCTAGTATCTCTGTGACATTCTATAGAGCACCTCCTTCTCTAAAATGAGCTAAAATAGGCAAGTCACAATGTCATCAGTGTCATAATCTAACCTTATCAGATTTGAGTAAGAAAGTATAACTAAATGCTCAGCCCAGGCTCTGCTCATAGTATGTGCTCACTGTATCTTAACTTTGTCATTAATTTTGTAAGTTCATAAAGCAGAATTAGATTATGGTCAAGTGCTCCAGTGATAGCTGTCATAGGTGCAAAGCCCAGTTCTTTCTGGCTTTGCAAAACCAGTTAAGTTGCTCCAGCTTCCTGAACCTCAGGTTTTCATCTATCCAGTGAGGGCAAGTCTGGTGCCTTTTCATAAATTTGTGAAAATTAAACACAAGATGTATAGAAAATGCTCAGTGTGGTACATGGTCCATACATGTCACTCAAATATGAGTTGCTGGTATTCCAGTCAGTATCTTCACCACTCTAAGGTTTTAGTTCTCTAGCAATTGGTAGCTAACATTTGCTGTGTGATTACTGAAGAAATTAAGCATGGTGGGAACAGATGATCACCCACATGGAGGTTCAGGTCGTACCAGATATTACACTCTGCCACTGTTTTCTGATAAAGAAGCTATCAGCTTAGATTCAGAGGGATTTGGGGGGACGTTTCATCACTGCTTCAGCACCCTTCCCTATTGCACCACTGAGTGGGCATCTACTGTATGCCACAGATGTGGGCAGATAGTGCCTGGGGAGTTCATTCCCCACAAGACAGGGCATTCCCTTGTTCATGCCTCTATCATGAACAGAGGTCTCCTTCCCTTTAGCTTTTGATTATTACTTAGTTCCTCCTAAAGCAAGAAAGTGGGGTCAACTTATATATCAAAGAATACTGGTATACCTCTAAGGTTTTTGAAAACAGTTAAACAAACGAAAGTTAACGTCTTCAAAAAGGAAAATAAAATTAACAAGTAAAAGTAATGCACAATGGATGACTTGTCTGAAATATATAGTATATGCCAATCTGGCAAATCAACTCTTATGCAGTTATATATAGCTTATTTTTAATGTGAATGTAGTTATATTTAATACATTGATATAAAATTTTAAAAGTGAATTCCAAGGACTGTTGAATTTCCTTAACCCATACTGAATACACAACACATGCATTATCTCTTCTTCCTGAAGCAGGTAGGATGGCTTTCTCAATTTTGTGAAAGCTTCGTGATCATGGTTAAAGTATCTCTCTAAGACTTAATTTCTTCATCTAAAAAGTGGGAGAAATAATAGTACCTACCTAACTATTGTCATGAGAATTAAATGCAATTGTGGGAATAGCACTAAGCATGATGTCTCCTGCATCGTAAATGCATATAAATGCACTTGCATACTTTTAGGATTATGTTGTTCCACCCTACTGCTGCCTCCACCCTAGCCACATGGGATTTTCCAGAATACACTGCAATGTCATTGGGTCATTCCACCATCTTGACTGACAGCAAATCTGTGTGGAGAAAGCTATGATAATGCAACAGTACTCATTTTCCTGATCATTTTCAAAGGCTCAGTTGGGTTTTGAGGAGCACACCTGTACACCCAGCACTCTGGAACACTGAACAGAAGAATCCTAAGTTTGAACTCAGCCTAAGAAAATTAGTAAGACCATGTCACAAATAAGTGCATGAATAAATGAGTGAATAGGCTGGCGACATACCTGGGTGCATATGCCGAGTTCAATCCTTGGCATATGCATACATACATGCACACATGTGCATGCATACACACACACACACACACACAAACACACACGGAAAAAGTCATCTGACCATTTAGACTGACAATAATAATAATTATACAGAAACAGGATAAATTTTCAGTTGAAAACTTGCAAGTGGTTAAGACTCATGTTTACTTAGAAGTTTCACTACTGTGATTTTATTTTTTGTTTGGTTTGGTACGGGGGATTGAACTTATAACTCTGTGTTTGCTAGGCAGGCACTTGAGTTTCTGAGCTAAATCCCTGGCCACTACTGTGATTTTTATACTTAAATTCCTTTCTAGGTAAGAAGAGCAAAGCTATGCGAAACATAATTTCTTTTACTTTTTTCTTAAATAATCTAGTGCAACTTTATAAAATTTATACCACAGTCTATTGAACTATAATCAAGTAAACCTTTTATACACCTTTAAAGATTTAGACTTTAAGGTTTCCACACGGCGACTGTGACCTTTAAGGGGCTTCAAAGTGTGTGACTCAGTCATCGAGATGAGTTGGCCTGCTCGGTTTCTGGAGGGGTGCAGTCTATGGTAGTGGTTTTAGAATGCAGAGTTCCTGAGCTTAGGGCCTGGGTGCATCTTGCTCTCTGCTCTGCCCTCGGTACCCGGTGCAGAGCACTGCACACTCGCTAACTAAACACACAGGCGAAGCAGTAAACAAATGCACACAGAGAAGGCTGCTGAGTGGTGGCCAAGCACTGCGTCCCTCCTCACAGCGGCAGCAATGCCCAAAGGAAGGGTGTTCAGGCTGTGTAAGTCACAGTGTGTGTGCAAAGCCATGTGGACCTGAGGTGGAGGCCATTTCTGTCACTCACTGAACTGTGCAAACTTGGGAAAGTCACGTCCTGAAAGCTCAGTTTCGTCACCTATCTAGGGGACCTCAACTCCCACTTTAAGACAGCTGCACTGAATGATCAATAAGATCCTGCATTCATGAAGACAGTTTAGCACGATGCCTGGTTCCTGCTAAACTGTACCGATAGCATAGTTTTACTCTGGAGGCAACCAAATACTTTATCTTCCCTCTACTGAATAAATCCTAACCTTTTTCAAGAAAATTATTTCATTATCTTTCAAAATATGGTTACTATCAGGGCTGAGTTTATCATTTTACTGGATTATTGCAGAACTCTTGGGGACACCAATGACAAAGTAAACTATGTTTTATTGTAAATCCTGCTGGAAGAATTATCTCATAAAATAGAGGAAGTAGGCTCATTATCTAGGAGAAAAATAGTCATCTTAAAGTTGATTCTAAAGCATTCAGTGAATTTTGTGATCTTTCAGTTATTGTGAAGAGTATGGAGACTTAATTTTAAATAGAATTATAGACATCGTTAAGTGTTTACTTGACTGAGACCTTTAAAAAAATTCTTAACTGTTGTTTATTTTCCTCTGTGTGCATGTGTGTATGTGCGTGTGTCAGAGACACAGACCTCGGGGATGCACCATGAGAAAAATCAAACTGTAAGTAACCATTTCTGTGCCCTAACATCATGCTCAACCGAGTGGGAAGGACGTGTGGTGGTAGATTTCCTTCATGCCTACCCTTTCCTGGGGAGAAAGCCCTGACCTTGCTTGCCTTCAGATTCACGGGCTGCAGTGCATGACCACAGTTCTGCCACGGGCCGAGGTGGGGAGCCAAGGAGGGTATCAGTGCAGAGCCCTGGCACACGTTGCAAAACCAAAATCCAGTATCGGCATCTGGCTCCTCTCCTCACATCTCACGTCCAGCACAGCTGGGGCCCACTCAAAGACTCCTTGGTCTTCTTCCACTAGGGGTTTTCTCCTCTTGTTTTCTTTACGATCCTGATGAGAAAAGTTGTATCAGTTTATCTACTTATACATGACAAGACACCAAGAGGGATGTTAAAATCCAAACTCTATACATTTAATTATGAGGTATCCTTCATTTTACCACAAAGGTAGTATCCCTCAATTTCTGAGAGCAAAAGAAAACCCACAGGGTTGCAGCCATGACTGAAATTCCTTGAGGAGCTATTTTAGGAGTCTGCACTCTGTCGTGCATGTCTCCTCCTCATGTGTTCACGATGGGTGCTCAGCATCGGATGACCCAGGGCAGCCTGGGAAGTGACCTCCATGTGCCTGCCAAGTCTGAGGCACAAGGATGCCTAGCATCCAGCCTTTACATCACCGCAGGAGTAATGCAGGCTCAGGAAAAGTGCAAGCGTGTATCAGATTGGAAAATTTAACTTCTGTGATATTTTGGTTTTAAAAGTGTTTGCTATGATTGTTTTTTAAGAGAATGAAATTCTAGAAAGCTTTTTATGTAACACTCAGGTATCAAGAATTATATTAATTAGAAAAATGACAATATTCACCTGCACTAAGTGAGCACATATCCTGTATCACTCCAAGTACTATGAACTTTAGATTTTCTGTGACATCATTTCCGAACAACTCTACTGTGTCCCTGAACTCCTGGCATTGATTGGGAAATTGGACCCTGGACAATCTGGATGCAAAACCCTGGCCCTTAAATCAATTTTCATAGCAAAGCATGATTAATAGTCAGGACTTTGCCACCAGACAGGCCTCCCTGCCCATCAACAGATGAATGGATAAAGAAAACGTGGTCTATGTGCAGAGTGGGGTACTGCTCAGCCAGAAAGAATACATTTGAGTGATTTGTGGGAAAATGAATGGAGCACAACAGCATAAGACTGAATGAAATAAGGTGAATAAAGAAGGTGAAATATCACATGGTTGCTCTAATATGAGAGCTCCAAAATACAAATAATTAATGAGAGACAGTAGGAAAGAATAGAACAGGGGTTCACTGAATGACTTCAACTGTAGACTACTCTGCAATACCCTCAGGAGCACAGGGTATTAAATGAATGAGACTCCAGGCTACATCTGTTCTAAGGAAAGGTGTGGGGAGAAGCCCTGGTGCCAAGAGCTCATTCTACACACACAGCACAAAGGGAAGGATTTTAAATCTTTGTTAACTCCCAAAATGGAGCTAACCGATGTCCATGATGGTTTGAGTCTTGTCTAGAAGGAAAAGATTGAGGGTTTCAGGCCCATGTCTGTGAGGCTGACAGGGTCGGTCCAGTTCACACACTGTTATGCTGGCTGTGTACACTGCTGGTTTTCTGGCCATCCACAGCTTCAATTCTGTTTGTGTTTTCACAGCAAATGTTCACACTGGTTAAGGAGTTCCAAGCCTCTGGAGCCACCACCAAACTCGGTGTCTACATCACAGCCGGAGTCAGCGCTGTTGTGGCCCTCATGTTTATTTTTGGTGCTTTAACTCTCCTGTGTAAGTCATTGGATGTTTTTGTCTCTTCCTCTGGGACTGTCCCTATAGGAACCAATGCAATCCGAGATAAAAATATCTCTTTATAATCATTCCTAAAGCTTATTAACTGAATATATATTTGCCCCTATAAACTCTCACACTAATAATAACCAATAATCAGTGATTCCCTGTGTCAGATCTGCTGGGCACTGAACATTCTGCATATGTTTTATTGCCATCACCATCTTAAAGGACAGGTAGTATTACTATCCCATATCATGGTAGAGGAATGTGAAGCTTAGAGACAGCAGGACTCTTTCCCAGGGTTTCAGAGTCAACAAATGGCAAAGCTGACACTGAAATCTAGGCACATAGATTCCAGTACCTGTCTCCATCCATATCATTAGTTAAGAAACCTCACTTTTCAAATTTACAAATATGCCTAGGTTTAATAGGAAACACATTCCATGAAAACAACCCTGTGCTGTGACTATGGATCATGACAAAGGTCATCACATTTTCCTCCTTTTCACAACTCTTGGCATATACATTTTTTACTGCTTCTTTTATTTAAAAAACTTTAAAATATACTTACTTAGTAATTAATTATTTAAAGTATAATTGACATGATATATATATATCATATTGACAGTCTATTCACATTTGATGGTCATACAGGGAAACCACCATTTTATTCAAGATCCAAACATTTGTCCTTTTTTTAATTTGGAAGAGAATAAAACCAAATGAGATAGAATAGATTCAAACAAAACAAAACAATGAACATGGTACATGACTTTAAACAAAATACCAGGAAATCAATAATGGCTACCATAATGCCTCTTGTTGTCTTCAAAAGAACTGGCCGTACCATCAGGCATAATAAAATTAAACAAAACAGTACAGAATTAAGCCAATAAAATAAAAAACAATGAAAGCAGTGCAGAACTTCAAAACAAGATAACAGTAAAACACAGTGGGTACCATAACGTATCTTGTTATCTTCAAAGTAGCTGTCATACCCTCAGACATGACACAATCAAAACAAAATAGAATAATATCAGTCAAAACAAAACAATGAAAGCAATACAGGGCTTCAAAACAATATAATAGGAAACCAATAATGGCTACCATAATATATTTTGCTATCTTTGAAATAGCTGTGCATGCCATCAAATATAATAAAATTAGATGAACTGAAACAGAAAACCAAACTAAAAAGAACAATGAAAACAATATGGGTGTCAAAGTATGACAATAGATTACCAATGGCCACTGCCTTCCCTTCTTAGACACTTCCTCCACTTTCACCTTCACAGGATGTATTGTGAATTTTGGATCCCACTAACTCCTTTAGCTTTTATACCAGGGAGGGATCACAGTATTCACAATATTCATGAGCATGATCTAAGTGGTATCCATTTACCCACAAGAGCCTCAAGGTTCTCTTTCTTTAGAGTTGAGCATTTTTCCATTGTATAACAGTGCCATGTCTTTCTTATGAAGTCTGCATCTGATGGGCAAGATACCCCCACTTCTTTCTGATTCCCTGCCATATAGAGCATTTTTTATCTCTTTTGACTTTTAGTCTATGAACCTCCTTTATGGTTAAATGTGTTTCTTGTAGAAAGCATATTGATGGACCCTGTCTCCTGATCCCATCAGCCCATGTTTCTTTTTATTGGTGAATTGAGACCATCTTTATTAGTCATTATCGCCAACACGCTCTGCCTCATTTTTGTCATGCTGTTTTCCTGCTGTTGGTTGCTTACTTTTCCCCTCTATTCCGTTGTTTGCCCTACTCTGTGATCCTACTCTGCTGCTGGGCCTGGAACCATGGTCTTTTTTTTTTTTTTTTTTTAAATCTTTTTCTAGAATTTCATTCAGTATTCTTTCTAGGGTTAGTTTGGTGGTCATGAATTCCTTCTTTGTCATGAAAGTTGTTCTTTGTCATGGAATTATCTTGTTTCTACATTAATTTTTTTTTTTTTTTTTTGGTACTGGGATCAAACTCATGACCCAGTGCTTGCCAGACAGGTGCTTGTGCCGCTGAGCTAAATCCCTGGCTCTCCATTAAATTTGAAAGATAGTTTTGCAAGGTATATCAATCTGGGTTGGAAGTTGTTTTCTTTCAGAACTTTACTCTGTGAGCTTCAATTCTCACTTTATTTTCTTCCTGTCTCCTTCCTCCTTCTTGTCTTCCCCATGATGTAGTATTCCAGCACCTGCACTGTTTCTGTCAGAGAGGCTATTTACCCTGATGCTTACTGTTCTGCCATCTTCTCAGAAACCTGCAAGATCCAAACATTTGCAACACCCTAGAGGTCTCACATCCTTTTATAATTGTGGTATATTCTTTTTTCTTGAGGGAAAAGGTCAAGGCCTTAGAGTTAAATATATGTTTCCTAAAAGGACTTGCTTAATATATAGACACGATGTAGTGTGCCTAAACATCCTGCATTTACCCGGATTGAAGGGGGTTCCTAAGATACAGGACTACCAATGGTAAAGCCGACAGTCTGGGAGAACTCAGAGTAGGTGACTCATTCCAATTGCTGCCTGAAGTTCCCAGTACTTTCAGCAGGTTAACTCCACACAATATCCCTAAGTGATAGATAGGAATATCATTCTAATGGAGAACAAGGATGCTGAAAGCTTAAATACCTTGGCCACATTTGCACACTTAACTGATGAGTATAGGAATTGAAACAGGAGACACCTCTCTCCTGCTCATTATCTTTTCTGTCATTATTGTTAAGTGAACTGTTCAGAGTAAGAAATGATCCCATCCATACTTACCTGCTTACCCAGAGATAGAAGTAAAGTTTGGGAAATGACCACACGAAAGTAAGATATAAAGGTTATTAAGGGACAGTGATAAAACTGACTACATTTTTGAGTTCAAAAGTTAGAGACTATTATAGTTTAATGGATAATCAAGAATGGGAAAAATTTGACATTTTATTCATGCACATATACAGGAATCCTAAGTATCCACGGGTTCCAAGCAAGATGGCACATTTTAATTCCTGACTTCACAGCCACAAACTGTTTCAATAATGGCCAACAATTCTGTCTTATACTCAGTCTGTGAGATGTCCATCCAGATCCCATTGGTACTCAAACCTTCTTTCTCCCTCTCCTGACTGATGACACAGAAGAGCCTCTTGGCTTTGGCAAGGGCTCAACCCCCTTCAATCCTTTCATCTGAACCATCTTCCTCTTCTTTTGCATTGTGGCTGTTTTCATTAATCCACAGGTTCCTCTCCAGGGGCTCCCATTTCTCACTCTCCTTTCCAGCCATTGTTCCTGCTCATCCTCTCTGCACTGTGACTGTCCATCACCTTGCTTTTATTCTTGAAACACCATCACCATTTGAATAGTTTTGGTCAGACTCACCGAGGCCCTGTGTTAGGCTAACTCTCTCTGAGGTTGTCTTCTCTGCAGCTGATCTTTCTTCTACTACTTCCTGAACCCTTGCTTCCCCATCCTAGGAAGTCTTGGCTTCTGAAACACCATTGTCCTACTTGACTGGCGACCCCTTTTCAGCTATGTGGCTGTTTCCTTTTTTGCCTGACCTTTAGATGTTGAGATTCCTTGGCTCTTAACTCTTTAAATTGTGGCAGATGCTTTCATGGGCTTTAATGTCATCTTTAATTTAGTTCTCCAGCACTTTAAGTATTGATGATATTTGTCTGACTTTCCAGGTGGCAGGTTTGCTTTTAAGTCTAACACATTTAACAAGTTGAAAACGAAGCTCCCACTGCCACATTCCACCTTCCCACAGCCCAACCTTTCCCTCATGTCTTCATAATTTCACCACTGTCTACCTGGCAGCCCAAGTAAGAAATGCGGAAGTCATTTATGCAACTTCTCTTTCCTTCCTTTTAATTCAGAGTCTGACTTTAATTCCTGTAACCTTTGTCTAACAGCTATCTAAAATCTAGCCAAGAATGTGTAAGCTAGGCATGTAACTTCAGCTTTCCGGAGTCTAAGACAGGAGGATCACTGTAAGTTTGAGGCCAGCCTGGGTTACATGGTGAGGTCAAGGGCAACCTGAACTATACAACCCATCCTTGTCTCAAGACAAATAAAATAAATCTCAAATCCCTTCATTATATTTGTCTAATTTCTTTATTCCTGTTTCTAACCTGCACTCCATTTAACAGTCTTAAGTGTAATTAAGACTTAAGTCAGATCGTATTTCTGTCCTTCAGTTTCCTTCAGGTGTTAGTATAAAATCCAAACTCTTCATTATGGCTGAGAAGTCCTGTAGCACAGTGGTCCTCATTTTCATGGACCAGTTTCATGGAGGACAATTTTTTCATGGTTGGGGGACCTCAAGGTTGGTTTGGGATCATTCAATAATTTATTGAATGCTTCATTTCTATTATTATTATCTGATAATACATGGTGAGGTAATTATACCACTCACTGTAATGCACAGAAGGTTGGAGCTCTGAGCTTGATTTTCTGCCCCAAGGTAGTCCTGTAATGTGGAAATGCATAATGTGACAGCTGTGTGTTGCTCATCTCCAGTCTGCCCCACTGTTTTACTTTGGTTGCTGTCACTGTAGAAAACCCTACTCTAGAAATAAGGGCAGGATTTTCAATGTTTTGTGATAATCTCAGGATATTCCAATTTCAATTTAATCTACAATGTACGGAGAACTGAAGTTAATCTCCAGCATAGATTTGTTACTTTATTTGGTTTTTGGGTTGGTTTTCTTTTTTTTTTTTTAATTCGAGTTCTCACTATGTAACACAAGATGGCCTTGAACTCACTTATGTAGCCCAGACTGCCTTGAACTCACAGTGATTCCTCTGCCTCAGCCTCCCCAGTGCTGGGACTACAGGTGTGAGCCACTATGCCAGGGTCAAACATATTTTTAAGGACACTGTCAGTTGCAAAGTCAAGCAAGTGAACCTCTTCTAGAGTATTCAAAGTCAAGTGACCTGACCTAATTCACACATGGGTCCCATATCTATTATTTCTTAAATTTGAGCTATTTTGTATTTGGGAAGTAATACTTAAACTCCTTTGAAAGCTGAGATAAGTGAACATACAGCAGCTGGTGGAAAGAAGCTCCTGAATCAATCTCTTGCAAAGTGTCAAAAATTCTGACATTCACAAGACACTCTTAAGAGTTCAGTTTAGCTCTGAATGCATCCACTTTCTCTGCCGACCTTAACACAGTTATCGTTCTCCCCTGAAGTGACAGACTGTTCACTGAACAAATTGAATACATCTCATAAGTAAGCAATTTTTATGACTCATTATGTGTCACTGAGTTGTGCTGCCAATGAGTGCTGATTTTTAAAAGATATCTCTGGAATAATTTTATAATTCAAAAGCTATGGCCAGTGATTTACATTTATAAAGCAATCTCAGTCCTGTGCGTAAGAGAAGATGTGTGAGCTAAGGCAAGGAAGGGGTAAAGGTAAAGATTTCCATTTCCATAAAAAGAAAAAATAAAAACAGCATGAAAACATTCTTTTCTGTGTTATTCAAAATCTAGTTGCCTGCAGATCTGCTATATTGTTATTGCTGTCTATGATAATTTTCCTTGGCTGTTGGTCATCCTTGTTACATTCGACTTCCTTGAAGGAAAACCAAGAATCTTTGCATTTGTAATGCTGTATTCCTGCTTGAATATGAAATATAGCTACCATATACCTGCCTACAAATGTCTATCACCAGCCTAGTCAAGGAATGTACTAAGCCCCTGAGATAAAACATGTTACAGTTTACTTACTAAATAATGTTTATGAAAACAGACCTCCCTCTCTCTCACTCTCACTCTCCCCAGTTTTGTAGCACTGGAGACATATTTTATTTTGTTAAACTGCCCATATTGGTCTCCAACCTCTACCTCTTAGCCTCTCCAGTGCTCAGATTACAAGAATGCACCACCTTGTCCAGCACTTTTTTCTTTTCTTTTATAAATATCTCCCTCATTAAAATGTAAGTATCATAAAGTTAGGTCTGTTTTTTATTTTAATGAGAAAAAAGAAAAAAATGGAAAAATCAAGAAGGAAACAGACCTGGAAAACAACAAAAGCAAAATGACAAAGAACAAAAACCAAAACAATAGCTATGGAGGTTTTCAAAACAGGATGATTGGAATTTAACAATGGCTTTATACTGCATCTTGTTATCTTCAAAATAGTTACTCAGGTAACCAGATACAAGTTTAAAAGAAAACAAATTGAACAACACATTGGATTTCAAAAACAAGAGAGAAGGAAATCCCATCCCCCACGGTTACCACAACACACACTGCCTTCCTCCAAATAGGTGCCCCGCCCACCAAGTCAATCAAACAATACAACCATGGAGCTTTCCTTTCAGCTCAGTTGCTGTCATTGCACCCTGAGTTGCTCTGAATCAGCCAGTGGCTTGGGATGGGGATTCTCTTCTGGTTTCCCATCCTGTGCACCAGCTGGCTTACTGATCCCTATGGTGGAGCTTGGCTCATGGGATGGCTGAAATCAGGTCTTATAGTTCATCTTTGTGTCCCCAGGTGGCAAGCTGTCAGCCACAGGAAATGTGTCCCATAGTAAGAACAATGCATCTTAGTTTCTTATATGCAGAGTACATATAAGAAAGTTCTTACATGCACATTGAGAGTTTCCTTTAATTCATTTTAAGACCATATTTTCCTAAAACAGACAAAAACCATTTTGTTTTAGTGAGCCTATTTTAGTTCTTGTTTATCTGTAAAACTACTTTGAGTAACATTTTTCTCCTTTTACGTAGGGTACTTTCACAGGAAAAAGAACTCACAGAATGCAAGGTGAGAATTACAGGATTGGGGAGAAGGGTATGTTGGAGGCCTGGGTTCTAATCAGGCTTTGATGTTTGCTCAGGGAAACTCTGACCTGGGGTTTGGGAGCTAAACTCACACTTCTTTTATGCCCTAAGCCAGTGGTGGCGAACTGATGGCACATGTGCAACAGTGGGCTCTTTGTATCACTAAAAACTCTCAAATGTTCATCATTTAAAAGAGGCGCCTATGTCTTAGTCACTTTGATCCTTGCTGCGACCCTCCACTGCAACTTAAAGGGAGAGAGGTCTAACTTATGTTTTCAATTTTCACAAGTGGTCTCCTGGCTCCAAGGCAGGAAGCAGGTGGTAGAAGACTCTGGTGGAGGAGAGCTGCTCATATCGTGCACCAGGAAACATCACACACTAGGGATTCTTCTTTTGCATCCTAAGACATAACTCAGCTCTGGCTTTCTCATGATCCTTCCAAAAGCCTCACCTCTAACACATGTTAGAAGGGGATATTCTAGATTTGAGCTGTGACAGCTTAATTCTGAAATGAAAATTCAGCATGTTGCTTCTTGAGTTCTTAAGTTATAGAATTTATATCCCCATTCCCCATTAATGATAAACATTTTTTATCACTATAGTATTACTTTTAGGGAAGCAAATGTCCATTTTCCAGGGTCTGGGCTGGACACTGGCTTACCAACGTTAACAAGAAAACCAGAATTTATTTTCAGAGTTCTTATAGCCAAAATCCATCAGTTTTATCTCTAATTGAATATTAGGATCATCTGACCACTTATGTGCAATATGAAGGATTAACTCCAGAGCAACTGAATCAGAATCTTGGGTTGCAATCTGAGCAAATAGTTTATTAAAAACTCTCCAGGATTTGCTCACAGGAGAACATCTACACCATTCGTGTGTGTGTGTGTGTGTGTGTGTGTATGTGTGTGTGTGTGTGTGTGTGTGTGTGTGTGTGTATTTGTGTGATGCTGGGGATTGACCTGGGGGCTTCACATGTGCTAGGCAAGTGCTTTGCCACTAAGCTACATCTCCAGCATTTTAATTTTGTTTGGAGACAGAGTCTTGCTAAGTTGCCCAGGAAGCTTTCAACTTGTATCCTCTTGCCTCAGCTTTCTGAGCAGCTGGGATAATGAGATGCAGTACAGAGGCTCACTCTGGAGGTGACTGTAACATGGAACCAGGGCTGAGAAACCCAGGTCTGTTATAGGTCTTTGTCTTGATGTCCATGCCTGACTCTACATATACATGCCTTTCAAATAAGCAGAGTTATAGAATCACTATATTTTAAATTTTTCTGACCTTTGATACAGGGGAATGAAATATATTTTGGAAAAAAATGCTACTGAATCCTACTATATAAATCATTTTAGATAAGTAAAATATGGTATATTAGCTTGCTATGGTGGCACATGCCTATGATTCCAGCACTCTGGAGGCTGAGGCAGGAGCATTGTCATAAATTAAAGGTCATCCTGGGCTACGTAATGAGTTTAAGTCCAGCCTGCACTGCATAGCAAAACCCTGTCTCAAACAAACAAATGTCATATTACAAACACAAAATAATGTGCAGTAATAAAGTGAGGTCAGATAAAATATTGAATTGTAGGATCAATATTCTTCATTAGACTTAAAACATGAAAATATGATGCTATTGACAGGTAACGCTGATAGGCACTCATTAATCTGTTATTTGTAAAATTATGTAGTTTATATTCATTTCTGTCTGTAAATTGTTAACTCTATGCAATTAGGAACTGACAACAGTATCCCCAGCATAGTCCCAGACACCTACTAATAATATATATAAATCTATATTTATATATACATATGTCGAGAGAGAGAGAGAGAGAGAGAGAGAGAGAGAGAGAGAGAGAGAGAGAGAGAATCTGATCCCTAGGGCTTACACCTGATAGGCAAGTGCTCTACCACAGCAATAGCCCCAGCTGTATTCAGACTTTTGTTTTTTTTGGTTTCCAGACAGGCTCCCATTAGGTTGCCTAGGCTGGGCTCCAACTTTTGATCTTACTGCCTCAGCCTCTCAAGTAGCTGCAATTACAGGCATGTGCCATCAGCCTGGGAGCAACCAATACAATTAAATGAATGAATGAATATTTCTCACAGTAGCTCTGTGAGGCAGGGCTCTAATGATTCCCATTTTATAGATGAGGATGCTGAGATACAAAGTTTACTAATATACAGTACAGGTGGGATTTTTGTGTTCTGTTCACTGCTGTTATCTGCAGGTATGTAAAATCATGTGTAACACACTAAACATTTCTTGAATGAAAATAGAAAACAACACAATTTACCCAAGCCACAGGATACAGTAAGACAATATTCAAACTCAAGCCTGATTAAATCTATAACATTCGTTTCTTTTTCTTTTCCTTTGTGAAATTGTTGAAGGCCGTGAAAGAACTGCAGTGACATGAGCAGAACCACAACAGTACGAGAGCCAGTAGACCCCTTCACCTAAGCTCCTCACTGGGAATGGCATCCTGGCTTTATCTGTTTCTCTATATGGACCACGGTTTTTTCTGAACCATTTGTAAGGAAGTTACAGAATCCTGACACTTCAACTCAACGCTTCAGCCTGTGTTTTCTGAGAAAAAAATGCACTTTTTACACCTAAGAAAATTGATATTAGCTCCAATTTTCTTAGCTCTTTGCCAAATTATCACCCCCCCCATTGGTATCCCACTGAGGATCATGCTCTGCCTTTGCTTGCAGCCTGTTCAGATAAACCTGTTCTTCTAGCCTATTCCACAGGTGTGTCATTGGGAAATGCCTAAGTCAGCCTCGGCATTTTGTTTTCACAGCCTCATCACTCTGGCCAGCCGTCTTCCCTCGGGACTCACAAACGCAGGGGCAGAAGGGATTCACTCACAGGAGAACATCTACACCATTGAGGAGAATGTCTACACCACGGAGAATGTCTACAGCACAGAGAACGTTTACACCATGGAGGATGTCTACACCATGGAGGAAAACGTCTACGAAGTGGAGGATTCCAGTGACCACTCCTGCTCTGTCAGCAGCAGGCAGCCAGAGTGATGACCTCTGGCTCTTCCATGCTGTTGGTTTCAGTCCCATCACTGTTCACCTTGGTACTGTCCTCTTCAAAACAGATACGTGACTGGTTTTGCAGGTTCTCCCCACAGCCTCCTAAAAGGATATCTCTGTTTTCAGAAGATAACAAGCTCACATGGGGATTCAGCGGTGACCCATGCTGAATGTAGGCATAGGATAACTTCTGTTTTCCAGCCTCCATGGCTGCCCAACCCAGAGACTTCTAACTGTGTACCTTAGAGCTCAAAAATGCTTTTATACAGATTAAGAAGCCTTTGTTTCACCAGGGTTTGAACCTAAGGTCCTGCTCTTAAACCCATTTTAGAAAATTTTATTTTGAGACAGATTGTTGCTAATTCACTAAATTGCCCAGGCTGGGCTCAAACTCATGATATTTCTGCCTCAGTCTTCCTGAGTGTTGGTAACAAAGGCATATGCCCAGTATTGGACGAGGAATTCTTGATATGAGGTCTCTGGACCTCCAGAGAAGTCAGGCACATGTTGCATCTATACAGCTGGAAATAAGGAAATTTGTGTGTCGAGATCTATGCATGCTTTTCTGGGGGGAGGGTATAAAAATCCTAAAGGGACCAGTGATTTTCATAAGGTCTCTGATCCTTAAAGAGTTAAGCAGGACCACATTAGTACTCTGTGATCTTAAACTCCCTTCTGAGTCTCAAAGCTCTTGCCTATTTGAATGCTGTCTCCCAGTGTGAGCACCTCTGTGTAGCTCTTTCCCACCTCCATTAAGAAGCATGTTCAGTCTGTGGTGTGGACAGAGCTCCTGGGGACAGGGAAGTGTCCCTTGTGTTTGGGCTAACTTGTGTTGTCTTCATGGGGAAGTAACTCCTCTCTTCTCCCCTCCCCCTCTTGTTCTTTTTATGTTCTCTTCCTCTTTTTATGTTTTTTCCTTCGTTTTGTGTCAAAGCAGTGTTTTTCACAAAAGACTCAACCAGTCACTGGGTATACATTTTTCTGATGGAAAGCGGGCAGAGGCCCCCAGATCTCTGTACTGTCAACATCATTCCCTAGAAGGAAGATAGCGGTCCCTATGTGTAAGTCTCAAGATGACGGAACTAGGTTTGTGTGCTTTTTGCTCATCCTCCAGTGCTGGCCTGGTTCTCCCACACAGCAGAAATAGACTAATTCGCTTCAGAATGAAGACTTAAGTAAGCAAGTTACCTTCCCCACAAGACGTTTCCATGGAAGAGCTCAAGAAGAGCCCAACTCTTCACAAGTGCCCACTTCCACTCTTACTCAGCCACAGTGGTCTTGGTCTCCAACATCGCTTCCTTCTTGAGGTGCCTGGCAGGCTGGGGCTCTTTTGCCTGCTCCCCGCCTTCTGCGAGCTCCTTAATAAATCAGCCCTGTGGCCCTGTCACTGCCTGCACATGCACCTCTGGAGCAGAGGGCTGCATTGCTCCAGAGTTGCTCTCCGGAGGCCCCCTGGTCCTTGGGGATGAGCCTCCTGCTTGTTTCCAGCTCCCTGGCCGTCTGTGTATGAATTGCGATGTGTAGGCTGCACCTAAGTGGGAGGGCACTGGCTTTCTTGAGAAAGCTATGTAAGGGAGACCATTTTATAGTCACCCATTGGGGACCTGGCCAAGATCTCTAGCTGCCTGTATGAGTGGTACAGTGAAAGGGTGAAATAAGACAGAGACAATAGGGGAATAACGGTACAATTCAAAAAAGCTAAGTGGTGCAGGGCATGGTGTCATACACCTGTAATCCCAGCCCTTGGGAGGCTGAGGCAGGAGAAGTTTGAGGTTAGCCTGGACTGTACAGCTAGCCTGAACTACTGTCATTGGCAACACCCTATCTCAAAAACTTGAAAAAATTAAATAAATAGAACTAAGTGGTTTTATTTACTTTACTTTTTTCCTAATTTGAAAAATACTTTTTAAGTGGTTACCATGTCCTGGGATCCTTGGTGCTGGGGCCATGGGTGCCTCCCTGGTTCCGGGGAATGTCTAGCTGACCTGACTTTGCGGAATGCAGTTCATGCCCATTCATCCATTCAGTGAAGATTCATTAACCACTTCTTCATGCCACACACTGTGTCTTAAGACTGCAGCCTCTCAGTGAATGAAAGTTAAGACTCCTTGCTCTTGCTATCTTAAATCAAAAGACAAAAGTTACAGAATTGTATATATAACCAGAGAGGGATTTTTACTTTAAAAATGTGGAATGGATGGGCATAGTGATGCACACCTATAATCCTCGCACTCAGGAGGCTGAGGCAAGAGGATCTCTACAAATTTCAAGCCAGCTGGGCAACATAGTGAGTTCAGTCCAGCCTGAGCTCTACAGCATGACTGTCTCAGAAACACAAAATGAAACCAAACCAAACCAAAAACACCCCAAAATAACATGGCTCCAGCATGGAGACAAAAGTTTGAGGTAGACCTTCCCTTTCTTCCTTTAGCATGTTTCTGTGAGTTTGCACTATTTTTTCCATTTCGTTTTGTAATAAACATTTAAATTTAAGCATGATATCAGTGTTTCCTTATCTTTTTTCTACCCCATAGGAGAAAGTGAAGACTTGGAGAGGTCATGGTCAGTCAAGGCTAGTGATAGATTGTAGCATTACGTCAAGACTGGAACTTGGTTTTCAAGATAGGATTCACTGTACATTACACACTTGGAATGGAGAAGGTGGCATAGAACGGGGGCAGGAGAACTTCCTACAAAGAGCCTATAAACGTGGAAATTGTTATTTAAAGAATTTAAAATAGCTAGGCATGTTGGGGAACACCTGTAATCTCAGCACTAAGGAGGCTGAGGCAGGAGGGTTGCTGCGAGTTTGAGGCCAAGCTAGGCTACAGACAGAATGACAGCATCACTGGTCAGTCATGGAATAGGGAACTGGAAAGCCTTGAATCTTTCTAAATCACAATGTAATTTTCTAAAAGCACTCACTTTTAAGAAACAAAGCACATGTGTAATCCCAGTACTTGGGAAGCTGAGGCAGGAAGAATACTGTGAATTCAAAAAGCCAACCTGAGTTCGGTATTCAGTGGCCAGCCTGAGCTACATAAGGAGACCCTGATTTAATAATAATAGTAGTAATAAAATAGTAGTAAAAAATAGTTGTAATAACAATAACAACAACAACAACAAATTTCAGCTCTCCCCTTCCAAAATCATAAGATCAATAATCCTATGTTTTTTATAAGTTAACCAGTTTGTGTGAATATGTAAGTATTGGATAAGCTGGAGAATTATATATTAGCTTTTTAGTTTATGTCTCTAACAAAAAATAAAGCTTTGTTATTAGTTTTATTGGTTTCATATAGAACACTACATTTTGAAGTTCTTTAAAACTTTAAGAAGTTCTAGATGATTGTCTAAAGTTTTTTAAAAAAGCATTTATTTTGTGAGGAGCTAAATGTTATTTCTGATTGTATAAACTAAGTCACTGACATATTTGGCATTTAAATGGTGCCTGAATCTAAATATCGTTTAAGAAATCACTGCTGAAAAGCAATGGAAGGGCATCCTAGCAATTACCTGCTGTGATGCAGGTTTTATAATATTTTACTCTCTATAAAATTTAAGGCTTTGCTATTTTTGTTTTATGGTTGTAATCTTAATATAAACTAATTATAATACTTTATAGATTAAAAACATTAAGAAATAATAGTAGGAATCTAAGTAAAAACTATAGTTTAGCCAGGCATGGTGGCAAATGCCTGTCATCCAGCACTCAGAAGGCTGAGGCAGGAGGATGGCCACAAATTCTAGGTCAGCCTTATTGGGAGTTCAAGGCCAGCCTGAACTATGTAGCATGACCCTATCTCAAAAAACAAAGCAAAACAAATAGTGTAGAGAGGGCAGTATCGTACTCATTTCACAGTGTTGACAAATGTACAGTGATGTACAAGTAGTTAATTATAGAGGTGTACCAGCTGTATAATTTTTCTGTTCATTTCAAATTATTTCAAAATTCAAAGAGTTAAAATCCAACAGTAAATGAAATGTCATCAAGTGAGATAACTCCTTTTCATCATGATGATTATGATATAGGCAGCTGAGTTAGATAAAATATTACAGGCAGTCAGACAGTGCTGGACCCTCAGCCAGCCAGGACAGAAGACCAGATACCTTGCAACTATGGGGAAAAACAAACACTTCCTGCTGCCCAGATCTCAAGACAAAAGACAAAATAAATACAGCCACAGCCTAAGGACTGATATTCTAAACAGATATCCATCACCTTGAAGAAGCCAGAAGGAGCCACTAATCCAAATAAGGGAAATGCTAGATATTAAATTGAGTTTGTGTTCTGTGAAGTTGAAGAATGAATTCTGATTTGCTTTGTTTTTGTATATTTTTTGAGGCAGGGTCTCACTATGTGTGCAGGCTGGCCTTGAACTCACTATGTAGCCAAAGCTGGCTGCTTAGGCCTCCCAAATGCTAAGATTACAGGTGTGCCCCACCATGCCCTGCTGCAGGATGAATTCTAAGGAACAATGGTGGTTCAGAGGAGGGAAGTTTACTGTGGAAAAGGAATGGGGAGTAGGAATACTTGAGTGACATGGGGATACACAATGGGTGTGTACGATGTGGGTCAAAATGATGACTAAACAATAAGGATGCAAGTATAGTCCCTTAGGTAATACTGACTCAGTGGTACCTGGGGGATATGGGTGGCATCATTGACCTTGCCAGTCTTAGTCTTAGTCTTGGTGGGAGATGATAACCTACCTCTAAGGGGATAATGGGAAATCTCAAAAGGTGATACCAATAATCCCAAATTTCTGTTTATCTTTTATAGAGGTATGTAATCTAGCCACTGCGACTTCAGTCTTCTTCAGATACAAACCAGTCACAGTTTGGGTGTGTTCTCATCGTCTGATTCCCTCAAAAGCCCAGCTCTGTCTGACTGCCTGCTACATTCCTACCTAATTTAACTCTCTGTGATACTCCCCACTCTGAAGAGGTACCCTAAATGCAGTGAGCAGAGAAAGGGCCCAGTTTCTATCTAGCCACTTGGAGCTGACTAGGATCAGCACAGGGGAAACCACAGTCAGGGCTCTGTGCAGAGAGGAATCTAATGGGCCTTGGCTGGAAGTCATGTTGGAGTTAAGCAGTTACAAATTCCCTTTTCCAGGGTGATGTAGTGGATTCTGCTAAAAAGGAGTTGGGTGCTTCTGTTGTTGCTGGTTCCATCTCAGGATCACTTGGAGTTTGGCAGCCTCCAGCTAGTAGGATCCGAAGCTTGGGGCATTTCTAGCCAAATATATGCACCTGGAGACCATGCTTAAGTGAATTAAATTGAATACACATGTGAATATCACATTGTTTTTCTGGTGTGAAAAAGTAAAGGAAATAATACTGAAATGTATAATAGATATTGTGAAACAGGAAGAAAGTGTTCAAATGGGAAGAGGAGCAAGGGAAGGGAAAAAGGAAAGCAAGGAAGGGAAAAGAAAATGAGAAAACAGGAAAAAATAGAAACAAAGCTTTTGTAAGCGAGAAGGAAACAGGCTGAAGGTAGTGCAGGAGAAGGGAAAAAAGAATGAAGACGTGTCATGTACAGGAACAAATTTTTCTGATAAATACGATCATTATGCATACCTAAAATGTAACAATACATTTATTTAAAAATTTAGACTTTCTAGGATGGGGATGCAAGGGAGGACACTACAGAAAGATCAGCTGCAGCTAAGATAATATCAGAATGGGGGGACAGGAACATGCAGGGCAGAGCTTGACCAAAACTATTCAGATGGGGATGGTGTTTCAAGAATAAAAGCAAGGTGATGGGCAGTCAGACGGCAGCAGGGCTGAGCAGGAACAACTCACTTGAGCACCAGGGCTGGAAAGGAGAGTGAGAAATGGGAGCCACTGGAGAGAAAACAGTCATAATGCAAAAGAGGTAGATGGTTCACATGAAAGGATTAAAGGTGATGAGCCCTGCCAAAGCCAAGAAGCTTTTGCTCCATTATCAGTGCAAGAGGGACGAAGGTTTGAGTAGCCTTGAGCTCTGTGGGGGATCATCTCAGAAAGTGACTACAAGATGGAACTCTTGCAGGTGGTGGCCCACACCCACAATCCCAGCACTGGGGAGGCTAAGGCAGGAGGATCCTTGTGAATTTGAGACCAGCCTGCGCTACAAACTAAGCTCAGGGTCAGCCCAAACTGCATAGTGAGCCCCTGTGTGAAAAACTATAAAAAAAAGAAAGAAAGAAAGAAAGAAAGAAAGAAAGAAAGAAAGAAAGGAAATGGAACTTTGGCTATCACTAAGCCAGTTTGTGGCTGTGAAGTCTGGCTCAAAACTGTACTACCTTGCCTGTAAGATATTCTCCAGTAACTTCCAGGAAAAAGTTACAAATTAAACAGGACTTTCTGATTTGGTCTTCTAATTAGCCATGTTTGGGAATTACACACGGTGGGACCCTTGTATCCACCATAGACAGTTCCAGCCCCCCTCATAGATACCACAATCCTAGAGCGCTTGAGTTCCTTATAAAACACGCTATTTGCATATAACCTCAGTACATGATTCCATGTACTTTAAATCACCCTAAATTTCTTATAACACCCAATATAATCTAAATGTTATATAAAAATAACATATTATTGTTATACTAAGATGCTGAAAAATTAAAATAATTGATTAAAAGATAATTAGTAAAAATAGTTAAAAGAATAGTTACTAGCAGTATTGTCATTCTGTACTGAGCTCGTTACCCTAGTAACCAAGCACCAACCACATAGTTATAGACTAACTGACCACATTATCATGCTGTTCTGTATGCATCACCCCCCCCACCAAGTAATCTGTGTGCTATGTCAATCTTTGTTCCCTCTTGTAAGAGACAAATGATGTTGTGTCAACCTTTGCTCCCTTTATGAGAGATACATGTTCCTGGAATTGGCAAACCAAGAGCTATGAATCGGCTAACCACCCACTGTGAAATGGCTCTCACCTCAAACAAAGGGGAACAAAGGCCCACCTTGTTTCTTTTTCTCATCCCTATGTACTTAATGATCAATGAACTAATCATAAATGAACTATAAAAATCAGTCAAAGTTCTGACTCAGTTGCACAGCTTTGCAAATTCCATCTGAATTTTGTGGCTGGGCCAGCTAAAATAAAAGCGTTTCTTCCTTTTTTCCATCTCAGGGGTCTTGCCCCATATTTCATCTCAGGGGCCTTTTTGGGGAAGTACAACAATTATATTTAGGGAGTAATAAGAAAAAAGTCTGCACAATTTTCTGTGATACTTTTGATCTGAGGTTATTCAAATCCATGGTTGTGGAACCCATGGCTACAGAATGTTTGGGTGGGTAAGTGTACCTAAACAACATGTCCAACTTTCCCATTACTGACTAACTTTTACAAAAACTATAGTAGGCCCTAACTTTTTGGTTTTTTGTTTTCGTTTTTGTACCAGGAATATAACTCACAACTTAGTGCTTGCCAGGCAGGTGCTTATCCCGCTGAGCTAAATCCCCAGCCCCTCTTTGTTTGTTTTGAGATAGGA